CTGGTGTCACGCGAAGCTACACTTATAACTATAGTGACGGGGCAGTGCTTGTTTTGCTCTGGTGCCACGCAAAGCTACACTTATAACTATAGTGACGGGGCAGTGCTTGTTTTGCTCTGGTGTAACGCGAAGCTACACTTATAACCATAGTGACGGGACAGTGCTTGTTTTGCTCTGGTGCCACGCGAAGCTACACTTATAACCATAGTGACGGGGCAGTGCTTGTTTTGCTCTGGTGCCACTAAACATGACTCTGCAAAACAGACGACACCAAGCTGGCTTCTCAATGTAGAAACCTGTGAAGATCGGGTTACAATAGGACTCCACTATTTACAGACCCCGTCACAAAGCTGGAACTTTACTGAGTGTGGCGATAAGCAACAAACAAACAATGTAAACCTCGCCAGGCATGGGGATGCCAGAAAAGTTTGCTACAAATGCGTGATAACACCAGGCTAAACCTGAGAAATGATGCAAGTCATGGACATTTTCAGGGGTTGGGACCTGTGTGACTGAATCAATTTTTGAAGTATCGACAAGCTAAGGATGCCATTTTTGCTGAAGACATGCCTGAAGTAGGTGACTTGTTTACATTTGATTGGTTTTAGGTGAGTCCAGCTTCTTTGATCTTTTGGAATACTGCCTTGAGGTGATTCACATGTGCAGAAAACGTTATGATGTCATCTACATATATAAGTATGTAACACCAATTCATTTCTTTCACTGCCTCTGAAATGGTTTGCTGAAATGAGCATTTTTAGAACAAAGTGAAGGCGATTCCATTCAAAAACACCAGCTGATGTAATGAGAGCCGACTTGTGTTTTGTGTCTCGATGGAGTGGTATTTGCCAAAAAGCAACTAGCACAATTAAGAACGCTAAAGTTATCTCATGGCTGGGGCCTACAGCATCAACGATACCTTCCAAACGTGGTAGAGGGGAAAATATGGGATCGGTAACTGTATTAAGGTGTCTATAATCTACGTCAAAGCGGTAAGAGCTATCACGTTTTTAACCATGACAATGGGAGGGTGCCATTCAGATGACTGGGCTGAATGATATTGACGTCTTGTACCTGTCTGGAACATTCTTTCCTAAAGGTTGCGTTTTGCCAAGAAAAGGGGAGTCCAATGGGTCTGGCGTCACTTGTTTCTTTTTTGAGATGATGTAAATGAGTGAGTCCTAATTCTGACCAATCTGAGGCAAAAACTGATCTTTGTGATTGGAGAAATGCATTTTACTGTATGTTTGTACTTTCAATATTTTTTTTAAAAGCTTTTAGGGACAAAAGCTCCACGACATTCAGGGGTATTGTTTGGTGCAAACCACTTCAATAGGTTCCTTTACTACGTCATTTATCCAAAATACCTAATTGTTTCAGTAGGTTTCTGTAGCGGCCATAAAACTTCCGTGTCCCGTGATGGGATTCGAACCACGGACCTTGTGAGCAGAGGTCGGACGCCTTGTCCACATGACCAAAGAGGTTAACCCCGTCAGCAAGCTGACAAGGTGAGGATGTCATCTGTGGGATGACAACACGCCCTGCTACATTTCCAAAGTGCACAGAAATTATATCTCCTTTGTTTAATGTATACAGCACTGGAATGTCACTGAGGTCACCTTGACCTCCAACTCCCTCAATATGACAATGTAAACAGACTTGACCAGGTCATAAACAAACGAAATCCTGGATGTCCACCTGGCATTCGACATATGTATCTAATTGTATGCAGTCTAAATACTAGACTTTTATCACCTGATTTCTTACAATTCATCAACAATTGTGATGTAATCGGCTGAGACACATCTCAACTACCTTGACAGGGTTGATATTCCTGGGTACAAAATTCATAGTTTCCCTATATCCTAATACTGCATTATTCGATCAGGAGGACTTTTAGTTGCAATTCGGGAATATATACCCCATATAATCATACACAGAAGCAGTGAATAGTGTATATGGCTAAACATAACATTTTAACAACATAAAGACCTTATGATAGGCATGATATATATTCCCCAGAAGGATCTCGCTATTTCAATATAGATTGTTTTACTCAACTAGAGCATGCTATTGCACTGTTTAGAACTGAATATGACATAATTTTCTTGGGAGACTTTAATGCACGCACCAGTACCTGTCCAGACAACGTCTCCCTAGGAGAGCTTGAACCCAACGTAGACCTGCCTCGGGGCCTGACAAGCGATGATCAGGATCTGCAGCATATGGTGAACCTTGGCTTCCCATCTACAAGAACATCTCAGGACAAAGATCATGTCAATAATCATTGTTGTAAGCCATTTGAAATATGCAGAAATCATGGGTTATACATTATCAATGGAAGAGTGGGTTCAGATAGAAACTTTGGGCAAGTTACTTGTAAGGGCGTAACTGTCATTGATTATTCCATTGCCTCTTGCAATGTTTTTCCTTATTTTACACAGTTCTGGGTGTGCGATTGTGAACCACTCTTTTCAGGTGTTCACTAAGCCCTAACACTAACCACTGATTTGTTTCCCCTTACTACCCACACTGAGATTCCTGATGACACAGTCACAGTTATATTTCAACCAATCACGACGTAGATCGTGATCACGTGAGATAGCGAGAGCGAACCAGGCGTCAGTGCGTTAACGAACCTTGCAGGAAGAAGACAAGGGTGATTATGCTCTGACAATTCAGTGACTTAATCTATGCCCTTTAGCTCAAAGTGTGTACAATTACCGTTTGAGCTGGAATATCTACTCTCAGCGTGTACAATTACCGTTTGAGTGGTCATCAACATCCATCTGTTCTTTACCAAGAACAGAACAGGTGATCAACAACAGCCCCACGGGGGTACCAGCCAAGATGGCGGACGCTATGCTGCAATCAGCGGAGCACTCTCCCAGAGCTAATGATGTACTCGGCAAAATCTTGGATGACATGAATGCTTCATCATCTAAAGGTGGAGAAGGATGTCAAAAGCCACGTCCTAAAAGCGCTAAAAAGCGCTCCCTGGCATCTAAGGAACAACCCAAATCCAGTTCCAAACAAGCCAAAGAGGTTAGTAACTCGGCAGATAACCAGGCCTCCAACGGCAAGTCCCCGACTACACCCTCTAATGAGAGTCAAGACTGGCTTCTAGCCCAAGTCATGCAACAGAATATGAACACTCAGCAGCTGATATCCAGTATGACATCATCTATTTCCAAACTTGGAGACACTATGGCTTCATTTGTGAATCAGACACCACCCCTCAGCCTTGCTAGTGCAACTGTGACCCGTCCTCCATATGATGAAAGAGGGGAGGGGGGGAGCGCCATGGGCCATGAGTCCAGCGACGAGCTGTCTGACTGTGGCGGGAACGGCGCCATGGAAGACCTCTTTGATGATGCCGACTCTAGCGCGGTGGCAGCTGAAGAGGCTGCAGGTGCTCTGGGAACAGCGGATGACTCCACGCAAATGGATGAAAGTAGTGATATCTTAGACTCCCTGCTTCAGGATTATACCAACGAAGATCTCTTAGGCCCACCTATACAACCAAAGTTGGCAGAGGCAATGAACAATATGATGTTCAAGAAAATGCCTGACGAAAAGTTGAAAGAGAAACTTTCAGTTTACAAGTCTCCCCACAACTGTGAGTTGGTGAAAACGAGCAAAGTCAACCCAGAAATCTGGACTAAGCTCAAATCACAAGAACGGTCAAATGACATAAAGATGCAGAAACTCCAAGCTCCTGTCCTTAGGGCAGCTGTGCCATTGCTACACCTGGCCAGCGACCTGCTAAAAGTTAAGAACAAGGAAATGTCAGTGCAGCAATTAGACATCAAACAACTGGCGAAACAGGCCACTGATGCCATTAGTCTGCTCGCTCACGTGAACACAGAGCTAAACTACCGCCGACGGGAAATGATCAGACCACATCTCAATAAGCAATTCCAGCAGTTGTGTTCACCTCAGACGCCTATGTCTACCCTGCTGTTTGGAGACAACTTGGCGGAAACGATCAAGTCAATGAGTATGACCAACAGATTGGCTCAACAACTCACCTACAGTCAGCAGCGCCCGGCGCCCTACCACAAGCCGTTTACTGCATACAAGACTCCCTCTTATGCAAACAGCCGTAACCATGGCAACCCGGTGAGAGGAAGGGGTTTTTTAGACAGGAGTCGCCCCTTCCACAAGAAGAAATTCGAAGGGGGGAGGCACTAACTGGTACCCCAAGAGAGGTGAGCACTTTCAATATACCACACAATGTATTTGTTGCGGGTAGACTACGATTTCACGTTCAGAGCTGGCAAGAACTATCTTCAGACCCGTTTATCTTGCAGACTGTAACTGGTTCTTACATAGACTTTACTTCGTTGCCCGTCCAGTCGCATATTCCCAAAGAAATTAGCTTCTCACCCCAAGAACATTTCATCATAGGTGGAGAAATCGCTAAACTTTTAGCTAAGGGAGTTATCGTTCCATCACGTCGTGAACATGGTGAATACATATCCACAATCTTCATTAGACTTAAGAAAAACGGGACATACAGACTTATCCTGAATCTGAAGCAACTAAATGGAAGTGTAGACTATGTCCATTTCAAGATGGAGAGCCTTACAGCTGCTATCTCATTAGTGCGTAAGGACTGTTACATGGCATCGATAGATTTGAAAGATGCCTACTACACTGTGCCTGTTCATCCAAATCATCAGAAATACCTTAAATTCTTCTGGCAAGGTCAGCTATACCAGTTTACTGTTCTGCCAAACGGACTTAGTTGTGCTCCTAGATACTTCACAAAATTACTTAGAGTGCCGTTTTCATTTCTGAGAACACGGGGACATACTAATGTCGGATACATTGATGATTCGTTCATCGTTGGTGATGATAAGAAAGAATGTTCAACGTTTGTTTCGGAAACTGCTGTCTTGTTCACCAAACTAGGCTTTGTTTTACACCCTGAAAAATCGGTACTGTCACCTACACAGGAAATCACTTTTCTTGGTTTTGTCATCAACTCGTCATCAATGACCGTTTCTCCAGTTCCATCTAAAGCTCAGTTCGTGAAACAAGCCTGTGAAGCATTACTCAAGAAACAGTTGTGTTCGATCCGGGAACTAGCCGAGGTGATTGGTTACATGGTAGCGTGCTTTCCCGGAGTTCGATTAGGCCCCCTTAACTTCCGTCGCCTTGACAACGGCAAGTCACACGCTCTTCGAAACGCGAAAGGCAATTTTGACAAGGTATTAGAAGTCACCACAGATCAAACGGCTGATCTACAATGGTGGGTAGATAATGTGTGTACAAGTAGCAAGCCGATAAGTGTCGCACCTCCGGTAATTACCCTGACCTCAGACGCGTCAGACACCGGGTGGGGTGGGGCCCGCGGGAAACAGTCCACCGGCGGCCGGTGGTCACGTGATGAAACCGTTAAACATATAAACTACCTTGAGTTACTTGCGGCCTTCTTGACACTGCGGACATTCTGTTCCCTAGAATCCAGCTGTCATGTGAAACTAATGATTGACAATACCACGGCCGTCAGTTATATCAACAACATGGGTGGTAAGAAACCACCACTTGACAGCCTCGCAAGAGACACTTGGCTATGGGGTCTGCAGCGAGACTTGTGGTTAAGTGCGTGCCATGTTCCGGGTAAAGACAATGTGATTGCGGATCGAGAATCTAGAATAATGAAAGACAATACTGAGTGGTACATCGTTGATGAAGTGTTCAGTGAAATATGTAGGGTATTTGGGAAACCTGACATAGATTTGTTTGCCTCAAGACTTAATACTAGACTTGAAAAATATGCTTCTTGGAAGCCAGACCCAGATGCATGTGCCATTGACTCTTTTACGTTTGCATGGAATACTCACTTCTACGCTTTCCCGCCTTTCAGCATCCTGAATGCAGTGATAAAGAAAGTGGAAGAAGACCAAGCCAGAGGACTACTAGTGGCCCACACAACCAGTGTGGCCCACACAACCATGGTTCTCCAGACTCCTCAGACTCCTCATCCATCCACCAGTCATACTACCACCAGTCTCTCAGATCCTACGCCTTCCACACAACAAGGAGGCGAGACACTCTCTCGACAGAATGAAACTTGCAGTGTTTCCCTTATCAGGCTATCTCTTACACGGAGAGGAGTTTCGGACAGAGCTGCCAGTGTTATCCTCCAATCCTGGCGCAAATCCACTAGAGACCAGTACTCCACATACATCAAGAGATGGGTTGCGTTTTGTAATCAAAGGGAAATTGATACGCTGTGTCCATCTGTGACCGAGGTGTTAGATTTTCTGACGGAACTCTATGAGTTACACAACCTTGGTTACAGTGCACTTAACACAGCCAGATCCGCTCTGTCCTGTGTTATATCAGCAGATAACGTCACCATTGGATCTCATTCTCTCATTAACCGCTTCATGAAGGGAGTTTTTCAGACTCGCCCCTCACTGCCCAGAAACTCAGTGACGTGGGATACCAGTGTTGTTCTAGGTTATCTTAAAACATTGATGCCTTTGAAGGAACTGTCGTTGAAAGATTTGACACTTAAAACTGTGACTTTGATTGCGCTATTGTCAGGGCAGAGACTGCAAACTGTTCATCTATTAGATGTTAGAGATATTAGCTTGTTCAGTAGTTGTTGTAAGTTCAGAGTTGGTAGCCTGATCAAACAGTCGAGACCTGGGTCGCATCAGGCGGAGATCACTCTGCCGGCATACACGCCGAACAGTAGTCTGTGTATCGTTAGGGTATTACAGGAATACCTTGTCAGAACAGCTCCCATGCGGAACGGTGAGAATCAGCTTTTCATTAGCTACACACAGCCGCATAAGGCTGTAAGTAAAGATACCGTGTCACGCTGGATCAAGCAGGTGCTTCAGTTGAGTGGCATAGACATGAATACGTTCACGCCACACAGTACAAGAATGGCGTCGACTAGTGCCGCGTTACGACATTCTGTGCCGCTTCAGACTATACTGAAAACGGCAGGGTGGAGTAGTTCTGCGACTTTCTCCAAGTTCTACAACAAACCAGTGACTGACAATACGTTCGCATTGGCCATCCTCGACAACAGCTGAACTATTAAACATATAATCATGGAGACTCGTCACATTCCAAGGACTTGGAAGTAGAAGTACATAGACTGGCAAGTGGTTGTTTGAGATTGCCAATTTGGACGTTTCATTTGTTCATATTTGCATATTATAATTAAACTAGCTGTCAGCTTATATTCAGCATTTGTTCTTTGTTTGAAACACCTGTGCTTTAAACATCTCACGTGATCACGATCTACGTCGTGATTGGTTGAAATATAATCGTAGATTAAACGAGACTTACCTGTAAGTTGAAGGTTGATATAGATTATATGAAATAATCACAAGTAGGAGGGATCACGTGCCCTCCCGAACTTATACAGTTACCCACCCTGCTATTTACAGGGTTTCAAACGCTTTAAAGTCTGACGCCTGGTTCGCTCTCGCTATCTCACGTGATCCCTCCTACTTGTGATTATTTCATATAATCTATATCAACCTTCAACTTACAGGTAAGTCTCGTTTAATCTACGATTAAAGTGGATGTCAAAACCAGGAAGTGGGATAAAACATCTCACTCAGAACATGCTATTAAGGCAATAGTTATAGATAAGATCCATGAAAACAATGGACAATATAACTAAAGTCTCAGATATGGGTAAACAAATTGTTGATATTGGCCCAGTCGTCTAATGCGCCGCGAATCGCTGTGTAGAGTTGCGTCTGTGAGCAACGGGAACCTATGATTGTGGGTTCGCCCTAATTATGTTTCTAGGTTTGTCAGCACCATACCCGTGCTCGTGGGTTTCCGAGACCTGCATCACTTCGGGCTTTCCTCCCACATTAAGCTGACACGCGGCGATATATCTGCAATATTGTTAAAAGCGGCCTTAAACCCAACTCACTCACTCTTGTGTCACCGGATATAATGTATGTACATGTACATGGGTCACGCCACATGGTGTATATTCCTCTACCTACAAAACCTGACTGACATGGATCGTGCCAAGATCATCGACGGAAGCTAAGGAACATATGGCTAGTCGTGACAGTGGCCATGGCTACCAACGACTACGTCGATGATGAAGAATCGCCGTCCGACTTCCTGCCTGTGTGTAAGTGGCAGAGCGGGTCTCCGAACCCGGGAACTTTGGCCTATTGGTCCGGTGTGTGCAGAACGGGTCTCCGCACCCGGAACATTGGCCTATTGGTCCGGTGTGTGCAGAGCGGGTCTCCGCACCCGGAACATTGACTTTCGGTCCGTAGTGTGTAGAGCGGGTCTCCGCACCCGGAACATTGGCCTATCGGTCCGGTGTGTGCTGAACGGGTGACCGCACCCTGGAACATTGGCCTATCGGTCCGATGTGTGTAAAGCGGGTCTCCGCACCCGGGAACATTGGCCTATTGGTCGGGTGTGCGCAGAGCGGGTCTCCGCACCCGGGAACATTGGCCTATCGTCCGGGCTGTGTTCTGTCACGTGATTACTATCAACAAAAAACATGGCTGGTGTCTCCTTAAACTTCACCCCTGAGTTTTGTCTTCCATAGTCCACCCTACGTGGTCTTGCTTTGTTTTTTTAGGTATCTTACCAGTGGTTTATTCTTTAAGTTGTATGCTTAATCTTAGCATGTTATTTGTCACTGTCAAAGGGTTTGGATGTGAATGAACAGTACATCGTTCCTTTTATATTCATATCTTTGTAGGCTGGCATGCAAGTGCAGCAAATGTTTCACTTCCAACTAAATTTGTAACACTAATCAGGATTTGTGTACAAGGTGTCCAACTTTCAGTTTGGTGACGTTTCTTTTGTTCGTCAGCTTACATCGAGTGTTGCTATTTATGTCCATCATCTACAATCTTAGTAATTGAAGATTACATTCCCCTATTAGTTGTGAGTACAAACATGTCGACTTGACCAGTTTTCTGTCAACTTGAAGAAAACATCACACTTGGTTTTGCTACACATGGTGTTTTTATACTGCTATTTTCATTGTTCTGTTTTAAAAACATCTGTATACTTTAGTTATTATGTTATGAGTAAACAGTGGGATAATTTTAACATTCTTTCAGTAGGTTGAATTTGAAATGTGTCGTAAAAAATCTCAGTTCTCTTTTAAATAGGAGGGGAAAAATCTCAGCCCCTAAAAGAAAATATGACTCTACCCCAACCCCCCTAAAACTATATATTAAATGGACTGCCCTTCACAGCACACTTCTACATCTGCGATTGGCTACAAATCATTACAAAAATAAAACATGTACCAGTCTCCTCCTTTTTCACTTGTCTCCTAATAAGCAAACTTATTTCAGCGGGTGTTAACTTGGCGTCAAGAATTTTCATATCGAAAACAAAAATCGATATACGAGCGTAAGACCACGATAAACGAATGCAGGGAAAGGCAGCAGTAGTTTCACCTGACCTCTCTGAGCCTCACCCAGGTCACAGAACCATGTAACACATAATACTAACAAACTAACTCGCCGAGTTTGTAGTTAATATGTGTTACATTGTCCTGTTCCCAGGTGTACATGCGGGGCCACGGGTTGCCTAGTGGCTGTGCAGAGTTGCGTCCCTTAGGCGTACCTATGATCGTGGGTTCGAATATCAGGTTAGCTCTCACTATGTTTTTAGGTTTATCACCACCATTCCAGTGCTCGTAGGTTTCACTGAAGTGGTAAACGTGTAAGACGTGCATGACTTCGGACATTCGTCCCACATCAAGCTGATACGCCGTTATAACCGAGATACAGTTCAAAGGGGCGTTCCACCTAACTCACTCCCCTAAGACGCACATGCTGCGTTTCTCCACCTGGATGAGATGAGCAGATCCAAAGCCTCGCATTATACCTATTTTTAGTCGAATGACATACCTGTGAGTATGACTTTCCTCCGTGCGTATAAATCTTCCAACTATATCACCGCGGGAGGCCCCAACAATGGACAGAGTCGGTGGGGTAGCCTTGCGTTAAAACGTTGCTTCATCAGCCAGAGACCCAGGTTCGATTCCTCCACATGGTGTGAAGCCCATTCATGGTGTCCCCTGTCGTGATGAGGCTGACGTAATGCCTCAAGCGGCGTGAAGCATAATTCTACCCATGTTGGATATCGAACCGGGTTGGTGGCGTGAGGAGTCACGACTTTAACCACAAGGCTACCCACTGCTTTGAAACAAGATGTTTTGGGATTATCACTAGGGACGAAACTAAGTATTGGAGTGACTCACGAGAACATTTATAAGTGTCTCCACATTGATTATTTTTTAAACATTTCTAACTTCGGAGATCCTATCTTTTACATCATCAGGTTGTATCGATTCTACTGCAATGAGCTCCGTGCGCAGTTTTAGTTTCATAGTAAAATATGTATTTTACGACTGAACCTCGGACGTGCAGACATACCTTACACATTGATACGTGCATAAGTGCCCTTCCAATATGGCTGATGTGAAGGCAATTTTTAGTTGGTTCAGAAATATACGATAGCCATTTGATGACAGCATTGTCCAGGGTCAGGTTCTGTGATGTAAAACTGCGGTATATTAAGATTCTATATGTACGTGCCTCCGTGCAGGTTTCAGTTCAGAGTGGGTCCCAAACTCTCTGTGCTGGTAGTATTTAAAAGGGCATCTTAATGGATCTTGTGATCAAACTGAGTGACGTAGTACGTTGTTTGCCAGTCATTGTGCCCCGGTCGTTGCTCATATTATCTATCACTGGCTTGTCTGATCTTAATGTCATATACCTGGGATATGTCCTGGTGCAACAACATACGTACGTGTTTCGTCGTAGGGGAACGTGTCTAAACGTTTCTAAACAATTTACATATGAGTCCACATTTTCATTATTTCAAAGGATTCACTGTCATATAGGCAGTATCAGTGTCTTCTTTCCAAGGTAAACGTCATCAACTTCTTGGTCCAAAACATGTCCGAAATGTTACAGGAACGACCACACCCGCACACATAGTCTCTTGGTAAGGTGAGCTAATGAAATCTGATTCCTTAAACTATTGAAAAAATTGAATAGTTTTCTTCTTTTAAAGAACGAAATGTTATCTCGGATTCTGAAGACGTTCTGAACAACTGACTCTACTGTTAACATCGCAAGAATGTGTTCACCCGTGAAACGAAAGTTTTAAGGTTTGTAGAAAAAGTCTATGAGGCGTTCGTCGTGCCGAAAAAACTGGAAACGGTTTCTAGAAGAGTGGCGTCTGGACGCAGGTTTGAACCCAGACGAGAATGACCTAGCTTGTAACCAATACGTCTGGTCAGCAGACCGTAAAACCAAACACGGTCTGCTCGACTTCATGAAGAAGGGGCGCCCTCTGGTTCTCAACTTTGGAAGCTGTAGCTGACCTCCCTTTATGACCAAGCTGGCCAGGTTCAACGACATTGTTCAAAACTATGGACATATCGCTGACTTTCTTCTGATATACATAAAGGAAGCTGATCCAACAAACGGGTGGCATTTTAGAAGTAATAAGTACCAAATAGAAACCGCCCAAAGTATGGACGACCGAGTAGAGGCAGCCATGTTGTTGAGTGACGAGAATTTGAGATGCCCTATCATTCTGGATGACATCACAGATGAAGCTTGCAGGAAGTATGTTTGCCACCCAGAGAGGCTGTATATTGTCCTAGATGGCGTTGTGGTGTTCGCTGGAGGAAGGGGCCCGTGACAATACAACACCAAACTCGTGGACGACTGGCGCTAGTTGAAACATGCGCACCCCTGCGCCTTGTCTCTTACACAGACGCATAGTACAATGTATATAATTCAACACTGGACTTTCATGCCCGTCTCAGCTCTCGCATCCCACATAGTCATTCCCATGTTCTTATCTGACATTAAGAGACTTGAGGTTTCTTTAATACTCGTACCTCCGTAAATGTGTAATGATTTCATTTCATAACTTTATATCAGGGACTCTTATGTTAGTCTACCTGCATCCATCTTCTCTGGATCCGCGTATATCGTTGTTGATGACGTCGACGGCGTGAATCGTTGGTCGTGGAGTCCGCCATAGTGTGGATCGCCTGACCCAGACTCCACTGATTTCAGGCCTGATATAACTGGAACATTGGGAACTGCGGTGTCAAACATACTCCACTCTGTCACATTTAGGAAATACGGCTGCAGTTCAATCAATGCTTATCTGCTTATGTAGGTTTGACCACTTTCAACTTTGAGGTTTACAGGTGTAGTTGCACCAGTATTCTAATGCGTACCGTGTACCGTGACCGTGTACGACCACGTGACCGGAATATAAAATGGCGCAAGTTGACGACTTTGACGACGCGCATAGGGAGCCGGGAACCAGCTTAGTGTGATGTCAGAACTGTCGACTAACTGACATGACACGACACAAACAGGACACGATCGTCTACTGCTTTCACTACTTAGGATTGGGTGTACAGACACTATCAAAATAATGTTTAACATGTGAATGATAATAAAATTTAGAACCCCTGAAACCTGTTCTCTCGGTCATTTGTGTTAAGGTGCCATCACAGTTATTCTGACACGCTGGGCAAGACATCTGTTTTGCAAGTTTATCTAATCATCAGACCGTTGTTTTCATGTTCTCCATCGGACTGTAATTTGAACTGCGAACCAACATTTAGGAAAATTCTGTTACAAACCTGAAGCTTATGAGGGAGATGCTACTGTTTTTCAATACGTTGAAACTATTGAACCACCACTGGTATTTACCTGAATCAACATGCTATTGGGTCTGAAAGAGTTAAACTGCCCTGTAGTGAATTACAATCCGAGTTGACAGTAACGATTATTAGTGGAAATGTTCACGTTTGGTATCATAAGGGCGTTAATGACAATTCCCAAACTGATGACCTTGAAAAGCAAACCACAGCTGATTACGTGGTTCATTCACATAGCTGTACGTAAAACGTTCATGCACGCCCTAGACGACGTCGACCAACGTAAAACTCCAAACACTCCACTATATATACCCATGTAGTATTCGTTTTGAGTCACCAACTACGGAGAATTGGGTATATTGAGAGGGCGTCTTTGGAATAATGCCTGGATTCGGGCTGATGAACAGATAAATACGGGTTTATCTTTTTGCCTTCTCGTAGTGAATGAGTTTATCGAAAGGGGTGGCTATGTAGATGACGGCTGCTTTACCACTAAACGTGTTCAGCCATAATAGAGTTATCGGACTTTGAAACAGCAGTTTCGTATAAATTATAGTATTGACGAAACAAGGAGACACGAATTTTGTCTGCGCAATATATTTATTTGCATAAATTTAAAAATTAGAATGTTGATGATCATGTTACGTAATAGTGAGATATTTACGAAAACAAGTTTTACACGCTTTACATAAATATTCTAAAATGGCCGCGTCTATGCGTCTATCACGACAATCAGCTGACAATGAGAGATGGTAGGGACGATTCGCGGCAAATGTAAGTTTACCGCCAGATTATAATGGCAGAAGACAGTGACATGCATCTCAGTTACACCATAAAGTACCCACGATCTATCATGAAGTATCCTACAGCATATACGAGTGTTATATATTTATATATTTTACAGATATAACTTGTAAAAACGAAGGGGCGGAGGGGGTTTGTGTTGACATGGTCAAGGCTTTCCTTCAACTCCAAAATGATCAAACTGACACACCGTAATAAAACTGAAATGCATAAAAAAGAACTCACTCAAACACTGTTAGTGTAAGGCAATTCAAGTGTAATCAGATGAGCTGTAGAAACTACTTGTATTTATTTCTATCACATCAAGTATCCCCGTGTTATTTGTTTTCGAACACTTAAGAAACATTCGTAGTTTTCTCTCTAGACATAGGAACAACTGTAAACATCTCATTCACTTATAGAAGACACCTTTCTCGTAAAAACAAGCCATCATCTGAGTATTTACAACGTATGTGTGATGCTACACCCTCCGTTATAGCGCGAGTAATCGCGATAAACATGGCCGTCCGAAAATGTGTGACGTATCGATACGAAAAGCTGTGACTTGATCCGACGATAGGCCTACATCTGTCTACATGCCTAATTTAACATGTTTATGGTTCGGTCAGAAATAACAGAGAGACCTGATGCAGTGGCGAAGGTGGCAATGACTCCACGAATACAGCTTGAGATATTGGTGATACTTGCAACAACAGTGTTTGTCCTGTTTGCAGCCTGGAACACCTTTAGTGCACAATTATCAGTATGTGTCACAGGTAAGGTTGATGATGATGACAATAGTCCTGGTACATAAAATAAATAAATACTAAATACAATGCTGTGAACATTCTGTTACCGACTTATTAGCAAGATCTTACTTACTTTAATTGGGAATTTAACATGCGCTTTCTGACATATACATATTTAGTGCACAGTTGAGTATGATGAAGATCATGTAGATCATAATAGCGATTTGAGCATGTGTGGTGTGGAAATATGGGCAATAAAATATAAATAGCCTATTATTATTATCATTATTGTTATTATTATTATTATTATTTAGATACAGTGTGTTTTGTGATTGTGCGTCATCACGCCTGGATAGATTGTTTTCATTTATGCAATGATACTGTCAAACATCTGGCTCAATTATATACAGCCTTTGATTATGTACCTGGGCCTCCAACATATGAACAAATTTATGCGGATTTAATTTTAGAATTTTTGTCACTACAATGTTTGTCAGTGCATATTTTGTGTGTGAATAATTAAAGTATATTTTGTTTATCAGTGTGCCTCTGTTGTCAGTTTTTGACACTGACACTGAAAACCTACCTGGACAACCAGCAACCTCACATCAGACAACTGTTCAGGTAAATATGGTGTTTGTTCTTTTTGTTTGTTGTATATCACCGCACGCAGCAGTATTCTAGCTATATGACACTGGTCTGTAAATAATCAAGTTTGGGCCAAACAATCCAGTGATTGACATCATAAACATTGATCTACGCAATTGGGATACGATGACATGCATGAACTTAGTCAGCGACCCTGATAACCAGATCCCATTAGTCGCATCTAACGAAAAGCATGGGTTGCTGAACACCTATTCTAAGCAAGATCTTCATTTGTGGTAAACATGGTGAAACAACCCTTTCAGTGATAGATGTCTGTGTGTGTGTGTGTCTGTGTGTGTGATAGAGAGGGAGAAAGTGCACGACCAGTTAACCTCTGAGGTATCGTGAGAACTTAAAACCTTTTGAGGGTGTAGAACATGTCGATTATGCATTTGTGTGACTTTTCCAGTTAGCCCTCCATGTTAATTTGTACGAGTGAAGCCATGACAACTACCTGTACATGTTGTAAATAACAGTCACAGCTGTAGTTTTGAGTTGTGTAAATGTCACGTTTTCCAGATCAAAAGCAGACCTTGGTTACCTGTGTTCTATGCTGGTCCCATTGACTGTTGTAGCTGATCTGGTGTTCATAGCTAGGCAGAATGTCTTCATCGATATGCGTGAGTACAGCATCTCCATCATACCACCATCTGTCTGAGGTCACAATCTAATTTGTACACTAGCTGCTTGACCAAAATTTATGAAAGATTTGGCGACAGCCTTCTGTAATCAAAGCAGCTTGATACTAGAATAAATCAAAGTTCCAGATAAGAATGATAAGTTGCATATTTGCATAAAATTGATTGAATGGAGACATCACATATTCATGAACATCAAAAAGGCGCTATGAGTGACAAGTTATACTCTTGGTGGAGCACACAGACACAAATTAGAAGTCACCTGAAACAGTATTTTAAGCTAAAATTATTAATAGATATGTCTGCTCATTGTGTAAAATTACCCAACAGACTGGACCCAAGAGTGTAAAAATATATAAAATACCCAAAGAAAACTATCAATACCAATTATGAAAGATAACTTGTAAGTAAATACTCGACATGTGCAATGTCTTAATCTGCAACTCTAGGTAAATGTCGAAATAAAATATTTTGATATTAAAAGCTATCATAAATATTGCCACTTCATTCTCTAAATGGGCATAATGAATCTTTTTGCTGTGTGAATATTGCTAAAAGCTGCATAAATACAATTTTGTTTACTCACTACTTCAAATAAGCTCTCTTAGTATTCAAATTCTTTTAATGAGTACATTTCCTTTCTACAGTGAAAACGACATTGCTAATCATGCTAGTGTAGGGCCATTGAAATCCCCTAAACGTTTGAAAGCTTTATCTCTGTTTGCTTGTTTTGGTAATTATCCTTTGTATATAAATCTTATTTCAATTCATGTCTTAGTTGAATGGTTGGATGAGCATCGCAAGACACTGCACGGTATCGTGGATATCTGGGGGCTGGATCATCAGCACAAAGCTCAAGTCTATAATCGTGGGTAACAGCAAACATTTAGAACATTCTCTGGTTAGAACATATAATCAGTACTTTCCATATCTATTTATTTACACCTGTAAAGATCCGGGTTAAAATAGGTCTTTAGCAACCTGTGCTTGCCATAAGAGGCAACTATGCTTGTCGTAAGAGGCAACTAACAGGATCGGGTGGTCAGGCTCGCTGACATGATTGATCATCGTATCCTTATTGCATATATCGATGCTCATGATGTTAGGCACTGGATTGTATGGTCCAGACTTCATTATTTACAGACCGCTATTAAATAGCTAGAATATTGTTGAATGCGGTGTTAAACAATGAACAAACAATCAAAACTGAAAAATAGCCAAGTGCATCATTTTGATATGTGCCCTGCAATTTTCTCAATGTACATGGGTACTGTGTAGGCACAAGGGCTGTAGTTATGGTGCCTGGATATGTGATCATCAGGAATGACAACTCCATGCTGTGTACAAGCCAATCACAGTAATTGTACCTCACTTATGTTGGTTGTTATTCATAAGATATGACCACTGGTCTGTATGGTCAAGGATTGATAACATTACATGCACTCACATCTTCCTTAATCCAGTGTATTATGCGTCCATTCTACATTTTTATATATACCGTATTCGACATAATAAGCGCCCACGGCGATAGTTGATCCCAATTAGCACCCCTTCCGATTGATCAATGTACACAAGAGTTATTTATTTGCGTATAATACGCACTCATGTGTTCTGTGCACACTTATAATTATGGGCAATTAAATTCTTGAAAAATATATCTGTCGTACATAAACATTTCAGGCTGACAGCATAAACCACGATATTTATCTTTCAGCTCTGTTTCTTTTCACCAAAATAATATTCTAATAAGAGTCCCCTATTTCTAATTTTGAGAGCGCTTATTACGTCGAACACGGTACCCTGGACCCATTCTCCAGCATAGCCTTCTGTTGAGCCTAATTCCAATGGCATGATGCTAAAAATAGCCATCAAATCACTCACATGAGCACAGGAAATTCTGTGCTAAGTTAAGGATAGAAATGAGGAAGGTGGTGACAGCACTTTTGATACAAAGTTTTGGTGACAAGTCTGTCCAGGGTATTATTGATGTATACACATGCACAAAAGTTAAGCGCCACCATATTCATAGTCTCTTGATTTCACGTGTGGGAATCAGAAATACGAAATATGATGATGTATGACTGAATTAGGCTCCATAGTTTAATGAACCCAAATTTGTCCAGATACCACAAGGAAAGCGTGCTTTACATGTTGCTGCAGTTCCCCTACCCTATAAATAGTGAAATTCAAGTTTCAGACACGTGGTTGCATTTTGCTCCTGTGGGTTCCAATAGAGGTTGAAAATCAGCTATGGTCAGGAGAAAGTTAACGAACGCTGAAAGAAGGCAAGTGATAGGCATGAAAAATGCTGGCATGTCATGCAGGGCCATTGCAAGAAAAATGGGTCGTCATCACAGTATTATCACTCGTTTGATTGTCAAACATGGTCAAACCAATGTCAATGACAGGCATAGGTCTGGTAGGCCAAAGAAGACCTCTAACAGAGAGGATAGACGTCTTTTCAGAATAGTCAGACGAAATTCATTTGCCACTTCAACAGATATAAGACTGCAGTGGATTACCCATCAGAGACTCTCGACGATGACCGTAAGGCGTCGCCTTAGAGCAGCTGGTTATAATGCCAGAAGACCAGTAAAACGTCCTCAACTGACTGAAAGGCACATGCGGAATCATCTGATATGATGTCGTGCCCGTAGTCAATGGAACTTGGCCAACTGGAGAAGGATCCATTGGTCTGACGAGTGTCGAATGCTGCTACGAACTGTTGATGGTCAGTACGTGTTTGGAGGCACGTAACACTCGTTTTGCACCAAGGAACATCAAGAAGACCTTAGCATGTGGCACTGGGTCTGTCATGATATGGGGTTGTGTTTCCGTCGGCTGCAAACTTCCGCTGGTGACAATTCGTGGAAACCTGAATGGCCAACAATACCAAGATGCCGTTCTTCGTCCAGTGGTAGTCCCTCATTTTGACAACCATCCTCTTCAGACAAGACCTGTTTACATGGACGACAATGCTAGCCCACACAGATCTCGGGCAGTTTTGGCTTATTTGCGCCACTCTTCCTTGGCCGGCTTGTAGTCCGGATCTTAATCCGATTGAGCATCTCTGGGACATTCTTGGCCGGAAAATCAGACATTGTGAATCCCCAGTTCAAAATCTCGCTGGACTTGAAGCTGCACTTCATGAAGAATGGATCCGTTTGCCTCAGAGAAGCATTCAACGACTTGTAATGAGTATGAGGCGTAGGGTTGAAGCTGTGGTCAATGTCCGTGGATCATACACACGTTACTGACGTTTCTGTCTTGCAATAGACTCTGCATTCCCTAGGGTGTCTATGTGACACCTGATATGGTCTGCTGAGATCATGACAGTTACATGACGACAAAAGTTTTTCAATGTTTTCTAATCTTTCAATTTCTGGTCTTCGGTAAAATTCCTTTCTGCTCATATTCTTTTGGAACACAAGATAAACTTGCTTTGGGACAACTTTTGCATCACATGAGGTTTACATATACGGCTTATAACAATCGTACATCTCGTTATAATAGTCATCATTAAGTGCCAAAAGTAACAGCTCACAAATATGGTGGGTGGTGCTTAACTTTTGTGCATGTGTATATTATGGATATAAGGATCTTTCTTTGTTGTTTAACGCCTCACTCAGCAATATTCTAGCTACATGACTGCGTTTTGTAAATAATAAAGTTTGAGTCAGACAATCCAGTAATTCACATCATGAGCATCGATCCACACATTTGGGATACAATAACATGCATCAATCAAGTCAGCGAGTCTGAACATCCAATCCCGTAGTCTCCATTTATGGCAAGTAATGGTTGCTTAAGACCTATTCTAACCCTGATCTTCAGCATGTGACAGCATGTAAGGCTATCAACCCTTGGCCATACAGACCAGTGGTTAACAGGGTTAGAAACTAACAGTTTTTGTCCACTAGTCCTTATAATGATAACATATAGCAAAACCCTTAAAATGGGCCAATTTCTACTAGTCCTTAGGATACCTTTACTATTTGGGAGTTTCGTAAGGACTACAGGACTAGTGCCAATTTCTAACGCTGGGTTAACATGGTTAATAGTGTGAGTAACATGACAGTAGCTGTAGCAATGCAGACTTCAGCATCCCAGCCACTCACTCACTCTATTCAGATACAAACCCATTACCTACTGTGGCCTGCATTATTTTTTGGTTGATGTCTCAGCAAAAGTTGTGTTGTAGGACGTCTATCCACCAAAGATGAAAGGAACCTGTATAGATGTATCTTTAAACTCATAATAAATCCTTTAGTTTGCCTTCACAAACTTTACAAGGTGTCATCTCTATCATGTTCCCCACCGTGATCTAGTAAGAGAGTGCTGCCCGGAGAGCAGAAGGTCGGGGGGTTGGTTCCCGTCCGCATCATACTTTCGACCCGCCTCCATGGTGTAGTTGATAGGGCAAGGTTATAGGATGGTACTTGTTGTAGTGCCTGACACTCGGAATTGAAGGGATAAAACAAGGACTGGTTGGGGGTCAATATACTGTGTCTGAGAGGGGTATTTATATTCAACTGCGGCATGGTATCTCAGTGGGCTAGTACTATAAAATCAGCATTTGTCTGGACTAGTACAAGTAGCCACACATACACATGCATGCACGTCCCTATATAAGTGCAATTATCTTGAACACAACATTAAACCCCATTTCACCTCACCCCACCCATCATGTAACGATAGAAAACAAGATGAGAACACAACTTTCTTTAAGTAAAACATAATTTAATGTTTACATAGAACTTGAAGTCCATTGAAACAGTGTAAAACAACACTCATCAAATTCAACAAATACAACATTGTCTGCATTCTGTAACAAACTTGAGCTTCTTACCATGTGCACAGTAAACAGACAATGGGCACACAGTAATTTGGCCAGTTTCAGGATTATGTAATCATGACAACACAGTCAAACATTTCACAAAACATTGTTCAAAGTCACATTTACATGTCTGGATGTATCACAAAAATCATGGTCTCTGTACAAATTGTAGCAGTCCTGCGGAGTTCACTCCACTTTTACCATTCTGGAAGTTGTGTGAGGGTCGTATCTCTCCACGAAGTCAGACATGTTCTCCGCAATGTTGTGCACTGGCTGCATCACCCTGTCCAAGAAGGACTGGACCAAGTGCGCCCACACCAGCACTGCCAGGAAAACCAGCCTTTTCAGGGTACCCACAATGCCTTGAAATGACACGTCTTGGGGTGCGACCTTCCTGGCCTCAACTTTGATTGGTTCAAAGGGAGCCAATAGGGTGTTCCACAGTTTGGCCAGTGTGTGGTAGCCCAACAGCAGGAAGAGGAACACGTACCGAAGCCCCAGGTAGAGGGTGTTCTTGATAAAACCCATTTCCATTAGTTCTGAAACAAAATGGTGTCTTACTGTTAGAACATATTGTTTTGTCATACGTTATTATGAAAACTGCGTGGCAACATGATTTACATATCTTACATTTATGTTCATTCATTAAATAACATGTACAAGTTACGTGTATGCTTGGTCATTGCAAAATTCCGAGGGTTTGATAGAAAGCAAAACTGTTACGAGTTTGACTTTAAGTATACGCTCGTACGTACATGACTTGGGTTGAAATTGAGTGTAGATAGACCTTATTATGAAGGCTCCCTCACTTAAACTAACTAGGTATCATTATCTCAGACAAATAGCTGCGATCGCGTTTGCGAGAAAATCCCAGTATTACTATCGGACGTGGACCGGACACTAGAACAGAAGTTCGAGAGTAGAACATGGACAGGTGTGTGTCCGATAGTTGAATAACGACCGGTGCTATGTTCGATGGTAGAACATGGACAGGTGTGTGTCCGATAGTTAAATAACGACCGGTGCTATGTTCGATGGTAGAACATAAAATGTGTGCGTTCGATAGTTGAATAACGACCGGTTCGATAGTAGAACATCGAGAACAGTTGGATAATGACTCGTTGTACGTTCGGTTGGAAAAATATCCAGGTGTGTGGTCTGATAGTTGATAAGGACCGGCGGTTGTACTTTCGTACAACATACATTTCGTTATTATTATTTTCAAACAGACATAAATTACAATGTATATATGATAATCTTTCTTACTCTCTGAATCTGCAATATCCATCTTGCTGCAAACCTGCTGACTTGGGAATTCGCGAGGTGTGTTAGATAATCTGACACGATAACGGAGGGCATTAGGACACTGACAACAGCGTCGACCGTCATTAAAGTGTTATACATTTTCAGAGCAATTGCCACTATACTTATCAATATTGAATGATTGATTAACACGTTATGCTGCGATTTAAGAACAGGCACCTAATGGCATACGTACAATACATGCTTTAGTCTTACCTTAATTGAAATCTGTTTTAGGCTACGCTCACGAAGATTGAAAAGGAATTGAGCGTGTTAACGTTAGCTTGATATTTATAGTTGTTTTAACCGGACAGGATTGTCTGAACTTCGAGCCACACGCATTTACAAATGCCAAGGTTGTCAATTTCAGTCGGGGAGTGACCACAAGTGACGTCACTTATAGCCCCCGTGAAGAGCGTGCACAAATCCAGCACGTGCAGTTTTGATTTTAAGAATCCCAAATACATTACCTTTCGATTTACAGCATTTATTAGTCTGATTTCTGATATCATTGAAGCATTGTATTATATATTATTCCAATCAGTGGACATCCATCTTACTTCTGTTTACGTGACCTTATCAACACACGTATTTCCTGGTCGTGACCCCAGTACGGACTTTAGACCCGGGACTGCTGCAGAGCGAAATTCTCCAGGGTTGTTGGGTCATCTGATAAGTATACAAGAAACACGCCACCTTTCATGTCGTTTTCAGGCTGTTGGCTTACGAATTGCACCATGAGTCAAGGGTGGTATCACGAAACATGAATCAGAGTTTATGAACATATTCCGCCTGTGCTAAGACGCATATTTGTCAGTAACATGAAAACATATGTCTCTGTTTACATTTCCCCATGGCCCACACATGGTTTTGAATGACCTCTATGAACTCAGAGTGTTCAATGATCAAGGTGCTTGTGTCGCGCGATCAGTCAAGTCCACGTGATGGAACACGGCGAGTGAGTGAATTCTGCTTTATGCCGCATTAGCAATGTTACATCTATTTGCCAGATAGTATTGTCACACAACGACTTTATCGAATAGATAACTTATAATGTGTCGTGCAAGATACTAGAGTGTCACAACATATATAGCACCCAAACCTACATATGAAATCTACATGTCAACATGACCTGTTTGGTGTTAAGGCCTTCCCACACTGCAACAGGGCGTTGTAAGCTCGGTGCAGCGCGTCGGCAGCAAACAATTCGCTCTTGTTGTTTTAAGATAATCAACCCTTATTATCGCAGCTCAGCGACAGCGCGACGGCATAAATGTTTTTCAATCACGAAAAAAACTTCATATGCTTGCTTCCATGACACTGGTAAATCCCATTTTATGATGTCATTTCAGGGTGAAAAGAAAACCACATTTGACAAATACGGTCTTTATTGAACTAAACTCGATGCCAAAATTACAACTAAATGAAGAACTTTTGATTCTTGAAGTAAAGAAACAACCGCGTCTGTATACCATTCAATCAAAGGTTTACAAAGACGCCGAAATGCCAAGTAAGTCTTGGACAGTCCTTGACAACTTTGTTTTAATTAATTGAAATCAAATTCCTTTGCACAATTAAGATCGCCAAGATTAAAACTATTCAACTGTTATCTTATATGATATATTTCTTTCACAAATTTCGTCCATATTTGATAATGGACAAGTTTACTGCATGGAAGAGCTGCCCAAATGTGGGTTTAAATAAAACGCACGGACACAATGCACTGCACAGCGCTGGTTTAGTGTGGGGCGCTTTATGGTCAGTTATAGGATGACGCCTCTGGGCATAAATACCCACTGTCTATTGAAACTTGGCGTATCATCGAAACACAGTTTAGCGGAGAATTATCCAGTTGAATAACTGAATCGCAAGTAAATATATAGTTACACACCACTGCACATTTGTTTCATTTTAATTCCTTGGCCAGTTTGATAAGAAATACACGTGTTTTCTACAAATATCAAGTATACTAAAAACTGTAAATCTGGAAAATTTTGCATCATGATAGTACTGCGACTGTAATTACCAAGACAGCATTAAAACAGGTGAATAATTAAGTGTTGATTATTGTCTTTAATTACCAGGAAGGTAGTGAGTAAGGATAAAAAATTATGAATGAACAACTTCTTTATACAATTAAGAGCGACGTTTTGGTGTAGGTTCTAACACCGTTATCAAGCAAGTGATGAACCTACACCGAAACGTCGCTCTTAATTGTATAAAGAAGTTGTTCATCCATAAATTCTTTTCCTTACTTAGGTCTCCAACTTCTAAATGCCTATCAAAGAAGGAAGGTAGTGACTGAAAATAATCACAATGACATTATGCTGCCTCTTCACAATTGCATACAGACTTTATATTATTCAGCCGAAATGCCTATAAATAAATGTTAGCACCACGTTGTTTATTCAACATTTTTAAGACAAGAATGACCAAGTGGCATGATTATGTTATTAACATACTTTTATATATGGTAAATGAATGTATGTATGTCCCATCATGGTGACCCGGAACAGGATAGGTCCACGGTGCCCCATGCTCATACTGTTAACCATTGGTTTACTTGATCGAGACGCGATTATTCATGACGCCGAAGTGATCAAGCTTGTATATTGCAGACTGGCGTCAAACAACCACTCACAATTACAAAGTACATGGCTATTTATATGTTATCGTCATGAATGCTAAATCTAACATTAGGCTGATGACTGGTGATACGGTTGCCTGTTGCCATAACCTCCATCTGCCCACACTGCAGGAGTACTCACTTGAGTCGGTCTGGTCCTCGGCCATGCAGGAGTAGAAGGACATGTTGGCGAGACTGTTGGACAGATCTGTAACAGAGGGACGCTTACAGAGGACATTTGTACTAGCATAAGGGTCATGCGCACTGGGCAAGAGGACATTATTTTTGTACCAAACGTAAAGGTCATGCATGCTGTACAAGAGGACATATGTACGTAAAGTAAGGGCCGTGCATGTTGTTCAAGAGGGCATATGTACTTAACGTCAAGGTCATGTATTCTATAAAGCGGGTATATGTACGTGAAGGTCATGCATACTGTACAAGAGGGCAAATGTACGTAAAGGTCATGCATACTGTACAAGAGGGCAAATGTACACAACGTAAGGGCCATGCATACTGTACAAGAGGGCATATGTACGTCACGTAAAGGTCATGCATACTGTACAAGAGGGCATATGTACGTCACGTAAAGGTCATGCATACTGTACAAGAGGGCATATGTACGTCACGTAAAGATCATGCATACTGTACAAGAGGGCATATGTACATAACGTAAGGGTCATGCATACTGTACAAGAAGGCATATGTACGTCACGTAAAGGTCAGGCATACTGAACAAGAGGGCATATGTACGTCACGTAAAGGTCATGCATACTGTACAAGGGGGCATATGTACGTCACGTAAAGGTCATGCATACTGTACAAGGGGGCATATGTACGTCACGTAATGGTCATGCATACTGTACAAGAGGGCATATGTACGTCACGTAAAGATCATGCATACTGTACAAGAGGGCATATGTACGTCACGTAAAGGTCATGCATACTGTATAAGGGGGCATATGTACGTAACGGAAGGGCCATGCAAACTGTACAAGGGGGCATATGTACGTAACGTAAGGGCCATGCAAACTGTACAAGAGGGCATATGTACGTAACGTAAAGGTCATGCATACAGTACAAGTGGCATATGTACGTCACGTAAATGTCATGCATACTGTACAAGAGGGCATATGTACGTCACGTAAAGGTCATGCAAACTGTACAAGAGAGCATATGTACGTCACGTAAATGTCATGCTTACTGTACAAGGGGCATATGTTCGTCACGTAATGGTCATGCATACTGTACAAGGGGGCATATGTACGTCACGTAAAGGTCATGCATACTGTACAAGAGGGCATATGTCCGTCACGTAAAGATCATGCATACTGTACAAAAGGGCATATGTACATAACGTAAGGGCCATGCATACTGTACAAGAGGGCATATGTACGTCACGTAAAGGTCATGCATACTGTACAAGGGGGCATATGTACGTAACGTAAGGGCCATGCAAACTGTACAAGAGGACATATGTACGTAACATAAAGGTCATGCATACAGTACAAGGGGCATATGTACGTCACGTAAATGTCATGCATACTGTACAAGAGGGCTTATGTACGTCACGTAAAGGTCATGCAAACTGTACAAGAGGGCATATGTACGTCACGTAAAGGTCATGCTTACTGTACAAGGGGCATATGTACGTCACGTAATGGTCATGCATACTGTACAAGGGGGCATATGTACGTCACGTAATGGTCATGCATACTGTACAAGGGGGCATATGTTCGTCTCGTAAAGATCATGCATACTGTACAAGAGGGCATTGCATAATAGCGTGCGCATTCTACTGGATGGTCGTCTTTAGCTGTATTTTAGAATCTTTGTTACATATGGAGTGGGTGAGTGGACATTTGACGTCGCATCTGCAATAGTTCAGTCACATAGCGACAAGAACGAATTTTATCATATAGTAATCACAGTTATGTGCAAAATGTCCATTTTCTTAACGTTAAACATCGGGTTTTGATCACGTCTTTCCAATCCGGGTGATAATCGTCAGTCAGATGACTGCGAGAGGTTATACTTAGCAGTGATCTTGGTCAACAGCGCTTTAAATACAACATCTGCTCGTATTTTACTTTCAGTTCGTGCTGATAATGTACGTACGCTGCAGACAGCCGCTCGCAGTCACCTGACTGCCAAGCCTCAGTTGGTTGTAACCACGTGATCAAAACTGTTTATTTGCAAAAAAAGATATTTCTTGAAAAGCACGCTTTGCAATGTTTGTCATTACTGTAAGTAATATCCCTTATCGACGGAATGGCTTGTTTTCACTTCATAATCATTAGCACACATGCAGCCATCTTCGTTAATTTATCATCACGATATTTCGTGATCCGTACGCCAGCAACAGATATTTTACCCGCGTTTCCTAAGGTTCAGGGAAAGTATGTTCGAAACATAAAAATGTTGATAAATGTTGTTTTAAGTTTCTTTTTTCGGAATATAAGCATGGAAAAACACTTTCCCTCAGTTTCGGTAGACAGAGCATGCCCTGGGGCATCACAGAAGACAAGTTGACTTGGATTTCAACTTCTTTATTACTTTATTGCTGCTCCTTATCAAACAAGTGGATCAACAGCTTTTTTTGTGGGGAGGGGTAGCTATTTAAATATGAACGATCCCCCATGGTATAAGCTTAATGCTACAATTTGTCTTTGTTTGCAATTTTGCGTGTCTCGACATAAGGTACGACTGTTACATGTTATACACATGTTTTGACGGAGTTAAACATTATTTTAATTTTCACGCTTAATAAAATCATTACGTTATCGTCAGGTTCATCAAATAGTTAGTTGGAATTTTTCATTACGTTTACGTCTGGTTCATCATATGACCAGTGGGTTAGTGTAGCACCGATCAATTCAACGTAATCTGACCTTGAACACGGGACTCACGCTGCGCTATGTCCTCTCCACATTCTTGCGTCATCGTGGTTGACATCCTCACGATAGATATGCCCCTCTTTAGCGCATTCTTCTGGCCGATGGTCAAACCAAGATTTTCTATGTCCGAATCGGACAAATCCAGAAAATCCTCTTCCAGGACGATGTTGTTGCCTTCGAGACTTTTCACGGTCTTCTTGTTAAGTTGCCATTTGTCGGAGAAATCCTTCAAGAAGTCCATCTCCATCGTGCTGCTTTCGTCTGCGTCTGCTTTGGGCTGGAGGTAAGAGGATTCGCGATGCACTGTGCATGTAGCGCAAGGTCAGACAAGGTTCACGGGCTGGTCAGCTGAACGATCAACCCTCCACTGCATCAGAACACAACCACTAGTAACCCAAAACCGGTCGCGGTGCAGGTTTTAGCGGTGTTTGTGTTTACGAGTCGCCAGCGTTACGTCTCTGGTGTAATAGAGACTTGGCGAGCGTTGCGCAACTAACCATATCACTTGCAGTGTTTGTCACGACTTGTTAGTGGTAACAGATGGATGTATGTTATGGTCACTGGCCCATGACTTGACACAACTCCTAGCCCTTAGACTCACAACTAAGCTACTTATTATACATATAGCCGCAGGGAGACGAGGTCCTGTTTCAGTGTGATTTGGGGGCTATGGCTGCCATTGTGACGTAGCGGCATTTACTTGTATTATCACCATTTTGCCGCGTATTTTCTGGGTAACTGCGGTACCAAAAGCGTATGGGGCGAGCTCGTGTCGCGATTTATTGTGATAATTATTTGTAGCCGTCATTCATAATTGGAATTACCATTTGTTTTACGACCCTTTATTTTCGCAGGGCAGGGTAATACACTCCTTATTGTTGTATGTGTTTCGTATGTGTAAATCTCCGTCGAGACCTGAGGTAGAATGTGTCCCCAGCACCGCAATACTAGGCCTAAGAGGCAACTAAATTGAGAACACGTTGGGATTCCGGGTTAGAATTGGCCTCGTTGCATGTGGTCTTTCGAGGCATCTCAATGCATGACTTGGTCAGGCTCCAACACGCACGCGTACACGTAAGCACGCACGCACGCACGTTAGCGCTCACCCCATCCCCACCCCACACGCGCTCCTACATGAAATAAAACGCTATACTCTGTCACAAAACCAAAATGCTGTAACACGTAATGCAATTTCAATACGCTGCATTCATACATGCAGTTATAATGTCTTCTTGCTGTTGAAGTAAGTATTTGTTTTGTTTCTGTTTTGTGTGATCTAGTTTCACTAAACCTAACATTGAAAAACAACAAAAGGATCTAAGCTGATTAATTTGGATGATCGATCCAATCCAATATGCAACCAGTTCCCAACTCTACTTCAGAATGACGTGTTTGTGTTAAGAGTAGGCCAGGATTTGTGTATGTCCCTTTTAATAGGCTTTATGTATTGGAGAAAACACGCTCACGAGGTTTTGGTAGACGGAGCATGCCCTGGGGAGAGGCAAAAACCAAGGGGGCGAAGCCCCCGCGGTTTTTCTCGCCCCCCAGGGCATGCTCTGTCTACCGAAACCGAGGGAAAGTGTTTTTCCATGCTTATATTCCGAAAAAAGAAACTTAAAACAACATTTATCAACATGTTTATGTTTCGAACATACTTTCCCTGAACCTTAAGAAACGTGCGTAAAATATCTGTTGCTGGCGTACGGATCTTGAAAAGGAGATTCTAAAAACCAGTGAGGCTTATCAACGCCTCTGTAGCCTCGTGGTACACTCACTGGGCTACGGATATGAAGGTTGCGAGTACGATCCTCGGGAATATAAAGAAAACATTTGTCATTTGATTTTACATTTCATTACAATCTGAACGGAAGTTAAATTAATAAAATACCCAGGACATTATATGAAATCCCTGGGATATTATATAAAATCCAGGGGACATTACAACGTCCCTGTTTATGAGATTTAACCCGACTGGAAAGTAAAACCTCACAATAGGTTTTAATGCCTATAGAAAGAAGTCTCTTACTTAATAGCGATCCCAATGAATAGGTTTATAATCAAAGATTAAGAAGTGTTACAACTGGTGGAGCAGGTACCTATAATATAATTTGGTAAGGGGTTCCTAGTTTTAGGTAAGGGATAAAGATAAAGACATTTATTTTTGTCTCATTCAAACACTCTCATATTATAAACATATAAATGCTCACTTATTGTGCAGATCAAAATGGGTGTTTCCTTGAATCACCAGCTAAATGACCAACGTTTGTGTGTAGGATAAAACACGTCAGGTTTTTTTTTTTTTAATGAAACCCAAATCCATGGGATGAAACAGAGGGGAAGTGTTTTATCAAACACATGAACCGAAATCAATACTCATATTATCAATCAATGGATTGTCTGTTTCAGACTTGATTATTTACTGACCGCTGCCATATAGCTGGAATATTGTTGAGTGCGGTGTTAAACAACAAACAAACATTTTACCTGATTGTTACTCATGCTTTCTGTCATTGGTTTGTTTTGTCTTAATTATTTACTGATCTCTGTATTTGCTCCAGTTTGAAAATTGCTGTCTGTGGCATTACACAACATTCACTCACTTCAGTGTACGAAACACAACTTATGTTGCAACCAATGTTATAAGTCAACAATAGAATTAAACAATTCGATGCTTTGTTTTGTAGACTACGCCTACTCCATGTTGGGATGTGCCTTCCTGGCGTCCTCCATGGCTGCCCTGGCGGTCATCACCAACAGAGATCGCAGTAACCGTCTTCCCTCTACCTGCTCCTTGTGGACAATGTCCGTGTTCATTACGGCATCTGCTATTTCATCTTCTGTTATGTTGGTCATGGCAGGTGTGTGGCATTCAATTTTAATACCTTGTTGTGCTACATATAGACTTGGTAAGAGGCGACTAACGGGATCGGGTAGTCAGACTCGCTGACTTGGTTGATGCATGTTAACGTATCCCAATTGCGTGGATCGATGCTCATGATTTCAATCACTGGGTGGTCTGGTCTAGACTTAATTATTTTCAGACCGCCCTCATATAGCTGGAATATCGCTGAGTGTGGCGTTGAACAACAAACAAACAAAAAATAACATATAGATTTGCATCCTTCCTCTCTCTCTGTTTTGCAATTTTAGCTCACCTGAATCTCAAGTATGACCTTTAGCATCTTACTTTCAGACGATGAATAACTTAGAACATTTTGTTGAGCTACATTGTTGCATGATCTTTTACAGGATACAAGTCAGTCATGTTAGGAATGTTGTTTTGCTGTAATCATCATGGAAAAGTTTATGTCATCTAAAAGAGACATAGAACAGCAGATCACACTCGAAAGATTCCATACTGTTTGAAATCTAAAGGTATATGCATTCCGTTCACAAAATATCATTTATGGGATCCTGATCTCAAACGGAATATCCCGATATTCTTGTGCCACATCCTTACTCTTTAATAAGTATGATTGGTACGAACTGCTTAATGGTAAATACCAAGTGACATTAAGCAGGATGTTGTTCCTGATATTGCAGGTACCATGGCAACTGTGATGGCTCTAGTGCTGTCCGTCCTTGTGTTTCTTGTCATCTTCCATCTTCCAAACCACCTCCCCAGGACCTTCACCCTGGGAGAGTTGTCCTGCAGCATCCAGCTCCTGGCAGTCCTGCTGTGGAAGCCAGTGCATGTTTATACCTCTGTGAGTCGTCTGTCCCCCGTTGGCTGTCCTCACTCCTTTACTACAACATAGACTTACAGCAGTCGCTTGATTGCTTTGCTTGGAGTATTATCATGCAAGGACCAGCTTTCACAACGGAAACTTAACACTATTGTAACTCTCTTACTTCAACATGGACATACTGTAGTTGTTGCAATAAGATCGCTTGCTGTTGAACAGCGCTCTGGACCCCATTGCATAAATCAAACTTAGTGATGAGACTGTTGTAACTCACTCACTTCAACACGGTCTCACAATAGTCTTAGCACTAAGATCACTTTGTGCAAGTTGTTCCTCAGGTTCACCTAATACCTTTTTATCAGTTTTTATCTGTTATAATGATATGTGAAAACTAAGCAATTTATGTTATGAACTGATGATAAATTATAAAGAAACTGAAGCTGAATCATACAATTCTGTTCTTGTTTTGCAGACAGACATCATCAACTTTAAAATATACAGTATAGATTCTTTGCATGCAGTAAGTTCACCTTTCTCCAAGCACATACAGTGGAATAATAATGTACTGAAAATATGCATAGAGGTCAAGCGGCCCTGTGGTGCCATGCAGCACTTTAAATGTTCAAATTTAATTATTTTGAGGTTGATTTTATTGAAATGGATTAAATACTCTACAACCAAAAACAGAGTTAGATTCATGTGTGAATCAAAGTTCGGTATATAAATTAGCATAGATTTTAAAGGTTTGTATAGGGGTTTGTCGTATACGTGGGGTCGCTTTATAGACGGCGATATAAGGTGAGATATCTATACACACAACCATGATAACCGTGATGCCATGTGATGTATGACTTCTTGTACAGGGGAATCATGAAATGAAAAAAACATAATCTCCTATCTCCAACCTGGTTAGTATTGGATAAAGATACAGGCAGTCCAGTTTTCCTGAATTAATTACCAAACAAATCTTTCCCTGTCAGGATGATAATTGGACATTGCGTTGTTTTCAGATTATATTTGTTGCTCTACTTGTGATTATCATCATGTACGTCCTCCTTCCTGCAACTGTCCGTGGAGAACGTCCGTGGGTGTTCTATGTGGTGTTCACATGCGTGTCAGCAGTGTTGGTCGTCCCTGCATCATACCTGGTCCTCAGGAAGGACATTGTCACATGGATGTTCACCAGCATATTCAAACATCCGAAGAGGGTAGGTGATGGGAGTTGGATCGTCGTTTACATCAGTAACATTCTAATTCCTACTCACTGGCAGTTACAGGAAGAGATGTGCATCAACCCCAAACCCTTTCTCTTTTGAACACAGATTGCCTTCTTGTTAATTTTGAAGGTCTGAACATGTCTAAAAATACAGTTCATGAAATGTTGCTTCAAGATTTCCCCAATTATTATCAAAGTGGGGCTGGGGATATAGGGACGGAGTTTGTTCGTCCTTCCATCCATCCTTCCTTCTGTCCGTCTGATTCTCAAGGGGGACAAATTTTCTCAAGAACTATTAGAGAAATGAAATTTTACAAACTGATCTTACTGGTCATGATATTAAATGAGTCAGAAAATTGGTGTCATAAATTCATATTTTACAGAGTTATGGCCCTTGCTACATGTTTTTATCAACCTGCATAGTGTCAGCAATGGGGACAAGTTGAATAACTTCCATGTTATTTACTACTATAAGAACAAACAAAATTCTAAGTCCCCTATGGTGGGGAATAGTGATAACGTTGTTTTCTGGTGAAAAATCTTTCATCTATAAGATTTAAGCACCGTCATTTCAAAGGGAGACCATCGAAGATATATTTGTGTTCTGTGTGGGTTTTCTTTTGTACAAATCGAAATATCAGAAACAAGGGGTGCTTTGCAAACAGCCAACACTTGCAAGCAATGTACAGCGCCTAACAACAGCTCTCTAACTTTTAGCCGCTTGCAATCGCACCAAATGCTGGCTGAGGTCGCTTCGTTTTAAAACCAAAATGGAAGAGTTTGCTTTCATTTGGAAGAATGTACAAGCCCTTCGAGCTGATGCAGAACCAGGGGTTAGCGATTAATTTGCTTACCGGTACTCTAAGCAATTCATCGCCTGCAACCCGCCCAAGGTGGTAAAGAGGTGAAACTGAATCATTTGGAGTAAGCTGACATCTGAGTGGCTCAAGAATCCACGCATCCTTCATTTAGATTATGTAGTCAAGTTCAGTTCTGGTCCACCTGATAGGACCTCATCATATCTTCACGCAGATAGGTATGGTATCAATGTAGGACATCTGATGTCTACGAGATTGATGTTTACTGAGTGGGGTACTTGAGTGCCAGAGTGAGCTCTCTGCTCCAGGTGGATATGCTGAGCTGTGTGTTCTGCTACAGGTGAGTCTGCTGTTGTACTGGCTGGTGTGCTCTGTTGTGGCGGCTGTGCTGAGCTTGTATCAAGGGTCGAGTGCAAAGGGAGACACCATCACCCGCAAGTCATTCCATCTGGTCATAGTAGCCGTATACATTCCAGGGCTGTTGGTGGATGCAGAGTTCCTACACCTAGCATCTGTGTGTGCTGGAGCCTTCCTGCTGCTGCTTGAAGTGAGTTCACTCCCTTTATTTGTACCCTCCACATGTGTCAGATCCATCCATTGAGGACTGGATGTCAATTAAAGGAATACAGTATTTGTATTGTGTTGTGTATTGATACATTACCAATTGCATGATGAACCCAACACTACAGAATATGCCTCCTACGGTCACCCAGTGCATTGACTGACCCAGTCTTACTTACAGAACATCATCTTACACCAGTAATAGTGCTGCTGATTTGGACACAAACAACATTCTGGTAGTTTCTTGTTGAAGGCATATATTAAGTGAAAAGTGCCAGATTAAGAGCACACATCATTTACACATGTATGTTTTCATACAAAACAAACAGTATTTTTTTATATATATTTGACTGTATGGATAGTGTTCCGTGTTCCTCTGATGGTGATGTAGCTTGCACTGTGATGTTGGACTGTCATTCCAGGCTGTGAGGGTTCACTCTATTCCTCCTCTGGGGCAGGTTATTGACAGCTCATTCAAGATGTTTGTCGATGACAAGGATGAAGGCCCTGTGATACTGACCCACATCTACCTCCTCGTGGGCCTGTCTCTGCCACTCTGGATCTCCAGCATCAGGCCGGTCAATGGTAGGAATAGGGCTACGTATAAATGTGCATGCAGTACACTTTATGCACTACATATATAAACACACAAAAGGACTAGATTTTATATCGAAATTTATTAATCAATTTGATCAATAGTTTGAAAAGACTGTAACCCGGTGGTTGTTCCAGTTTAGAATAGGTCCCCAGCAGCCTTAATGGATCTGGCTCTGTGACTTGCTTGACTGTATGTCATCATCACCACCAGCATCGATCACTGCTCATGATATCAATCACTGGATTGTCTGGTCCAGACATTATTTACCAGCCGCAGTCATTTAGCTGGAATTTTGACTGTGGCATTAAACAATAAACAAACAAGTAAATAAAAGACACTAAGTTTATTGTCATGTCACGGTGTTTAGATTATACCGTATGATATCTAACAACTTGAAGCGTACGATGTCATTGTGTTGTATGGCTGGACCCTCCCATATTTCAACTGGACCCTAAACAATATATTTTGGGGGTCCGCTTGACACAGGTTAAACCCTGAGGCAATTCTTTGGGGTTTACTCTGGTTCATTGTTGAAAGTATCACCGATGTTATTGGCCTCAGTTCCGCTGAAGATATTAATTGCCTTTAAGTAAGAAGGAAATAGTATACAAAGGGAAGACTATTCGTCAAGCTTATTCCTATCAATTATGTTTCAGGTGCTCTGCTGCCCATGTACAGTGGAGTTATCTCCCTTGGTGTGGGCGACACGGCAGCATCTGTAGGGGGAGTTCTGTTAGGTCAACACAAGTGGCCAGGTAGCACATATTTACCTACCTTTTTTCACAAAACTATATTCAGTCACAAGCCAGCTCATTTTTAACATTATGTTTTCCATAATGATCAGAGGTCCAAGTGAGAGCATGGTATGGTGTGTAAGCTGTAAACATTACAATCTTCTCTGAGAAACCACCTGGCCAAAGCAGCCGAAACTTTATGCAGATGTGTGGGACTGTTATGTGACCTGGAATCATTGATGGCATGGATTTGAACAATTTAGGTATGTTTTAAGTATGAATACATTGTGGTTGTGAAGATACATTCATGAATATGTGAATATTCAGGGTGTGTGTGGTCGGGGGTGGGGGACCGGTGAAACATACTTTTTTGTAACTCAGTGGGGATGGGGGGATAGAGAGTGCAGTTTCATGTCATCAGTGGCACTGATACTGATTCAGAATCTTCCCGAGACAAATCAAAGGACAAAACTAAAAAGCATATTCTTAAATCTAAAATTATTTTGATTCTAAATTTGGTTTCTCAGCAAACACTCTGTAGTTAGACAAACACTTTTGCTCCCTTTTTCAATACCTAACAGCCCAGGGGTCACGTCATGTTCACACTTCAATAGTACTGAGTACACGTTGGTGTCAACAGCTCTGGTTTACAACCTCCAGTAAATGAATGCTGTGTAAACAGTCCTGGCTTACAACCTCCAGTAAACAAATGTTGTGTAAACAGTTCTGGCTTACAACCTCCAGTAAATGAATGTTGTGTAAGCAGCTCTGGATTACAACCTCCAGTAAATGAATGTTGTGTAAGCAGCTATGGATTACAACCTCCAGTAAATGAATGTTGTGTTAACAGCTCTGGCTTACAACCTCCAGTAAACGAATGTTGTGTAAAGTGCTCTGGCTTACAACCTCCAGTAAATAAATGCTGTGTAAACAGCTCTGGATTACATCCGCAAGTAAATGTATTTTGAAGTTCTTATGAAACACTAAAGACTCAACAGAATTGTAGAAGTGAGTTACTACAGATTCCTATCCGACACTTTGCTTTCAGAAAGTAACAAGTCTCTAGAAGGAACAGCCTTGTGTGCCATCAGTCAGGCTCTAGTCATGGCCTGCCTCACACTATCAGGTCAGACACTATGCACATAGTTACATCTTGTTGAGGTCAAGCTGTGAAACCAAGGACCCAATCCATGCAGCCTCGGTCCGGTCAAACTACCAAAGCAATAGTGTCCTTGAGTCCTTGTTTTCACATAATAATCTTGCCAAGACTAATCAGATTGTTCAAACAAAATTCATTTATGAGATGCTTAATTTCACCTTATTTTCACTCTTTATTACAATTACAGTTCAGTCAAGTTCTTCTTCAGAAATATTGCGGAACTGTGTATGGCACCAGGATGGTGTGACTACTTGGTTGTGTGTCACATTTATGCCTTGACCACATCTGAAATTGGTCTTGTTCATGTTTGATGTCTTACAGGCCAATCTTTATATGGTTTGTTACTTAACTATACTGAAGCTTTAATCACCATATACTGACCAGTTCTAATGCTTGTCAACCATTCCATATAGAAATGTTTCCACTGTGTTCCTCTTTCAGGGGGAGTGTCGAGTCCACTCAGCCTGTCTCTTGTCCTACCAGTCATCCTGTCTTCGCTGTATGAAGCTTTTACACTGCAAGTAGACAACCTGGTTCTACCCTTGCTGACTTATTCTCTGCTCTGTGTGTCATGACAGAATCAGCACGGCATCAAGTCATCATTGTCGTACAGTATTCTACAGTGTGTTTCCTGTCTGAAGATAAAGTCATTACTGTCAAAGATGATGCACCTATTTTACCTGAGGACAATGTCATTTTGTCAAATTTCATCATTGCCATGCATACAGTACACTTCTTCATTCTTATCATGGAGAATGACAATATGTCTGTCATTATTTTCATGCAGAACTGTGTAATATTTGTCCAGATGTCACCTATGTCATGCAACCCATGAAGATCCGGTGTAGAATAGGTCTTCAGCAACTCATGCTTGCCGTAACGGGATCGGGTGATCAGGCTCGCTGACTTGGTTGATGCATGTCATCGTATCCCAATTGCGTGGATCGTTGCTGAGGATGTCAATCACTGGATCGTCTGGTCCAGACTTGATTATTTAGAGACCGCCGTCATATAGCTGCAATTCTGCTTAATGCGGTGTTAAACAACAAACAAACCAACAAACCTATGTCATGCAGCACACTGCACCATGTGTCATGATGATGACAATGTCGTAACTTCATCATTGGCAACCCACTCCTCTGGGCTTTCCCTCTTGAATTAAATCCAACATTGTTACAAGTATACTGTTTATGATATCTGTTGTTCATACTTCCATAAAGATCATTTACACTTGTTGCATATATTTTAAACATGATCAATAAATTTGAATTTTCAAATAATGCTTCCATCTTTATGTTACAGAAAGATGGGTGAGTGAGGCTCTATTCCACCATTATCAATATTCCAACCACATTGCAGGAGAACACCAAGAATGGTATTCAGGCAATGGTTGGCAAGAGAGTGAGTGGGTGAGATGGGTTTAATGGTGTTTTAGCAGTATTCCAATTATAGCACAGTGTATCCACTTCATGTGGGAGGAAGGCCTGAAGTGATGCAGGTCTTAGACCTTTACCACTTTTGTGAAACCCTGGAGGACAGGTATGATGCTGATAAACCTAAAAACATCAATGTATCTTTATTCACACAACTTATTCACACAACCTTAACTATTATTTACAAATTTGGTTCCATATAACAATGCGTAACTCTTTTAACTGTGAGTTTCCATTTATCACAGTAATTTTCTCGGACACCAATTTGCTTTTGCTGTGTTTGATAACATAATATTATCTGCAAATAAAATAAAAAAGAGTTGGAACAACATCTGGATGTAATTGAATACCGTTTGTACAACTGTTATAGATTTCTGCTGTTTCATTTATAAAAAAGGAAAATATAAACACACTCAATATACATCCTTGGCGCACGCCTTATTTGCATTCAAACATATCAGACATTAAACCCTTGTCTGGTCCACACGTTCTAACATTTTCATATATACTACATAATAATTTAAAACATAATCGGAGGGACCATAGATTTTTTTATATTCCCACACAACTGGTAATTTAACGTCTTTTGACTTTCTAGGTCAACAAGGACCACACCCTTTGCATCCCAGAATACACTTTTTTCACCGGAGAAGTGGAATGGTGCCAATCAATGGATTGACATTTTGACTCGGGATCAAAGTGGTAGACCCATGTTTCATCACCCGTTAATAATCTCTTTTTGAATTAGACGGAATCCACCTCTATTAGCTCTTCATGTTCTCTGGCAAGGTCAGTTTTTTCCCCTTACGATGAGAATTTAGAAGCTTTGACACCCAACGAGCAGATATCATATTCATCTGCAAATGTTCATGAATAATAGTTTTGTGGATCCGTGGCTTAGACCTGTGTCTGCCTCAAGTAAAGTAATGGTAATACGTCTATCTGACAGTAAAAGTTTTTATATCTCCTTGATTGAATCTTCATTGATGGAAGGTGTGGGACGTCAAGACCTACGGTCATCATCAAGGCTTGTACTCCCAGCCTTAAACATAGCTGCCGTTTAACACTGTAATAGCTAGGGCATTTTTCCCCATACACTTGTAACATGCAGTCATGGATTTCTTTTCTCTAAAGTAAAAAACTTGATGAGTGTCCGATATACGTTCTTTTCCACGTCTGGACCTCTATTACGTTCAACTGGTTGTCACTAATATACAAGCGGCCTCAACACCCAAATACACTTGCAATGAACTACTCAAACAATGTACTACACTTTGTATGGCCAATAGTTAGTCAGGCTTAGAACGTTTTGACCAGCCCTCGTATATTTAGATGCTAGTGTGGTGTGTAAACCGGTCCGTGTACTGCGGACGGTGACAGCATGTTATAAAAACATGTGGAATGTTCCCGTACCGCTGGACTGGTGAGGGCACTGTGTATATAGACTAATAGGTTTCCAGTGGCTAGTTGGACTGTATATATAGTTGGAAAAGAGCGTGTTTACGCATCTCTCACACTATGTTATCACATCAAGACCAGCTTTCGTGTGTGGATCAATCATCTCCTCTAATTCTCCCTGCGTAGGCCCATCCCGGAAGCTTGACCACCGTCGCCGCTGGGTGAATATAATATCATCTCTGACTTTTGAAATCACCACTGTATTTTTGTAACTGATACTGAACATTCATACAACATAATATAGTATACACCTGGTTGCATACAGTGTTTACCCTGTAGGATGGAACCCTTTGTCAAGTCTATAAGAATGGGCTGAAAGTTTTTACAAGATATTTAGAACACCCTCCACTCACAAACTACGACACCATATACAACAAAGGCTGCCTTTTGTTTCTTAATGTTTATTGATGAAGAAAGAACTATTTGCAGAATAGCTTCTCTTGAGTTTACAAAGTCGAGTCTTGAACCAGCAAGACAATAACTTCAGTATCAACAAGTCATACATCAAACAGATATATAAATAAGATCATGTGACCCTATTTGAAATGCACCTTCATGTATTACAATTACAGCATCCCTACATTTGCACCACGCGTCAACTGTGCATGTACAGCTGTTCATCAGTAGATGTCGGACCAAGGTTGACAGCAATCATGGCATCAGACATAACCTACAGTGTTTAAGGTCATGAGATCATTGTCGATTCTGTCAACGTTGATCCAACAAGAAAACCCTTTGGTGGTAAATAGTGATATGATTTCAAAACTGCTTTGGTTGTATAACAGTAATAACTTGTAATAATAACATAGAAGAATTCTGATTGAGTGGAATTCTGCGACACTGGCACCATACCTATGTCGATATGGCTATATAACATTCAAAATACCCAAACGTCGGACACAATTCCCTATATTCATCGTTCTTTAATCGAAACCGAAATACTGCAGTCTAAAGGTCAGTAGTTACATTTCGTCACATCTTCGATAATATCAGAAGACTACATATATATTTCCATTCTGTTTGCGGAACTAACAAGCACCCCAAACCCACAGTATACCTATATGTATACTAAATGTATACGCGGTTCCAAAGGTGGGTGCCCACTCACCCTGCATATTGAAACATATTTATCGTGGTAGCGTACACAAAACATATAACAAAATCAATTGTGACTTGTTTTAAACAACAAATAGTTATGTAATTGAATTTGTTTTGATTTAAAGTACACGCCTCCCCTTACACCCACCCCTACCCTCCTCCCTCCCACCCAAAGCTATATCCGCGATTGAGTCGACCAAGGATACTGGAAAAAATCGAAGACACATCTTTCTACCAAATCTTCATGAATGGACATACTGGGTGGAACCATTTATCTAAAGCAGAGCGATTTATGATCAGGTTCAAAGCATCTGAAACCTATTCACTTAGCTAACATCGCAATTACAAACCTCAATAATAATTGATTTTGTTTGTCTAAAGCCAGCCCACCTTATCGGCCCTTAGTCGCAGTGAAAGGTCGTATATCGATATTCAGTAAGATAGCTTCGAAAGTAGCCTTCACAAAGATGTCTTTTGTCATGACAACCTAATGTCTGCAGTAGCTTCGTGAATACACCCCTTCAGCCACTTTCACGCTTTTCTCGTGGGCCCCCTAAGTCGTGCACTTTGAACTCGAGGACTCCTGTTGATATGCCAGCATGTGGTACTTTATAATTCAGTGTAAACATATTTTTAAATAACAATGAAATGTAACAGTACCGTGCAGGCAGCGGAAAATAGCGTTTCACTTTAGGGAGGTACTAGGAATACCGAGGATAGTATTTCCCTGCGATAACCTCTAAACCAGCCATGTACTGAGCTGTTTGAAGCGGCCTTCATCTTCAATGATAAAGTAATGATTAAGTCCTATTTAATAGACTGACTCTGATAACCCATGTCCTAATTTATCCGCCTATACATATACATATCATTACTACTCAACGGTTTCGTCTATTTATGTCATCTGAACTACTTATACATTTACAACCATTACTGCTATCACCAGATTATACGCCCTTAAAACAAAACAAACAGAATCTAATACTACTACCGTTGCTGTTGCTGCCGCTACTACTACTACTACTACTACTGCTGCTGCTGCTACTACTACTACTATCACACAATAACATGCCCTTAAACTACAACACAAACAGAATCTAGTACTAAACCACTGCTACTGCTAATGCTTTCACACAATAATACGTTCTTGAAGTATAAACCCGCAACGGAATCCTACACCCATCATAAAGCAGCAGACAGTGACGATGGCACCGGTAGATAACCTGAGTTATCCTTGGTGACTTGTCTCCGCCCACTGATTTCATCAGCAGTAGGCAGACGTACACCGCCCTGTCCAGATTCTAGATCGTACTAAAGTACAGATGTGTAGAAGCTAAAATGTGAAACTCTACACTAGCTAAACCCGCCTTTCTAACGAGCAGTTATTAATACGTGGATGGATTTGATTAACTAATTAGATCAAATAAGCTTCATACTACGTAACTAACATATACCAGCAATAAACTATCCGACATTTAAGAATGCAAACTGTAATCAACCAACAGGACCTAGTTGTTAACAGTATGTTGTTTGCAGTAGTTGTTCAGCCAGTGCTCAAGCTCCTGTAGACTGTAAAACATCGGCCCAGAGCCACCTGCATACTCTATGACTCCATCCGAAATAACATACAGACGCTCTGGCATGGCGGAGTATTTCTTGTTAGCATTGTCCGACATGTCATCAATCACAATGGGACAAGTAACTTGTTCCACCTTCAAGAAATTAGTTCTTGTTGCTCTGTCCTCCAGCTTAGTAGATGTTTGAACGTTGTATTTGTTCCCGCGGAAATACCACCCATCTACTGGATGAGCCTCTTCTATGTAAACCACTAGGAAGTCCACGCAGTGACTAAATTTGTCAACCATTTCGTTGAACTTGCCCAGCTTGGCTATAAACGGAGGTCAGCTACAGCTTCCAAAGTTGAGAACCAGAGGGCGCCCCTTCTTCATGAAGTCGAGCAGACGGTGTTTAGTTTTGCCGTCTGCTGACCAGACAACTGCGTCGGGCGGTCTCTTATCCTGTTCACTTTCTTTAAAAAATTCAAGTTGCAAGAGGTAGGGAATCAGTCTCCAGTGTTGCCATGACAACATAGTCATGAGAACCTCTTCTCCAGAAACTGTTGTTCCTTCCATTATTTTATCACCGAGACTTATTAACTTTCTTTTAAGAGGTTGACATACCATAGAGATATGGAGCACAGCAAACTTAAGGAACGTCCAAGCGAAAAGAGAAAACAGCAGCTTCACTTTACCAAGGATCCATACGGCTTCCTCTGCCATAATTCCACTTCTGTCCACCACCTGCAGTAACATGAATAATTTGCAGGTATAACAATTATAAAAGAATCATTGATGAAAATGTTCCAAGACACAAGGCAGTCCGTGAAAGACTTTTTTCATAATTATGCTTTTCAAATGTTGGTTGTTTTTAGGGACGAAAACTGATACTTCACGGTTATGCAACTACCAAATTGAGTGTTACACAAATAATGGGGAAAAAACAAGTCATCACTTATACTTTGATGGAACAAAACTTAAGATCTGACTACTTAAATTATCGTGTTGTGTCATCTGCACACAAATAGTTGACCCAAACTGGCATACGACACACACTGGTATTAAGTTCCTGAAGCAGCAGGTGAGAGGTGGCTGCTGGCGCCTTCTGTTTCCTACCAAACATCTACACTTGTCACTATATTGCTACAGTATCACCCAGCCCCTGAAGATCCGGGGTAGAATAGCTCCCCAGCAACCCACGTTTGTCGTAAAAGGCGACTATGCTTGTCGTAAGAGCCGACTAACGGGATCGAGTGGTCAGGCTCGCTGACTTGATTGATTCATGACATCGATACCAATTGCGTAGATGATTGCTCATGATGACAATCATTTGTCTGGTCCAGACTCGATTGTTTACAGACCGCCGTCAAATAGCTTGAATATTACTGAATGCGGCGTTAAACAACAAACAAACAAAGCCTCATCTGTGCTGTTAGTGGACAACTAACATCAAGTTCAAAATATGAACACCACAGAAAATACTCACACGCGCTTAAGTCCGGAGTTTCTCTCTCTCGGGTTCAAGATGAGGTTAAACACTATTGTATACGCTCTCACATGCGTTGGGGGTATTATATGAAGGCGTGTGCACCAATCGGACACTCTGATCTCACGCTACATCTAGAGTCCACGGATTTCCCACAAGACACTTTGACCAAGGGCAAAGTTTCACGGGTGATATGTCGACCCAGTGACACGCATTTTTCAACAGTCATGACCAATACACTGTTTAATTAAATGTCATTTCAGACACATAGCATATGCCATTAACATAGTGTCTATCTAGACTATTACTGCGTGTAAATGACAGCAAATACATACATGTCACTTTCAGTTAGACTAGGGCAAGAACTGTCAAGTTGAGATAAGTGCGATTCATACTTTATGGATTTTCTTCTTTGCCTCTTTGTTTGACATGCGACATTGCCAGAATGTGTAAATGATTTGTTATGGGCAGTTTTGTCTTTTGAATTCCGACAAATCAAAGAAAATGAACATTAACAGATGCGAGTCCAG